TTTGCCTCGTGGCATCTGCTATAAAATAAAGACACAGCTTGTGGGCGCCGGCGCTGTCTCCTCATCAGGGAGCAGCGTCCCATCGAGACCCAGCTTTCATTCTCTTGTCTCAATCCTTTCACCCCCCGACTCAGGATCACCTTTGGCCGTAACATATCAGCTTAGGAATTAGCCTGCTATGTTTGGTTAAACATTTCATTAACTCACCCCGAATGCCTTGGCAGGGCTGACCCGTGATTTCTCAGGCCTCACTGGGCCCTCGGGCAGGACGGTCCCCACTGCTGGTCTAAGGACAGTCTCTCCTGTCCGTGGGCTCTTAGTACCATCCCCATAGAAGCCGAGCTCCCACTCCCTCCAACCTGAGGAACTAGGGGCTGAGTTCCTGAAAGAGCTGCTCTGGAAACAGAACGTCCAAGGTTTTAAGAAATCTGGGCAGAAAGAAGCAATGCTTGCCTTTTTCCCACATTAGCAAATACACTACCTGTTCCTTTCCATAATGTGCTCTCTGTTTAATACGAGTTTCTCTTCTAAGCGCCAGGCCCCCACATTCATTCCTGTAACTGGGGCAACATGTTTCTAAAGTAAGGAGGGCTTTGGGGTAAAAGAAGGGAAAGTCTGAGAAGCAACATAAAATGGAAAGTTGTTCACTAAACAAGTAGGACAGAATGCTGACATGACTCGATTTGTCTCAGCCACGGCCACCAGACACCGTGCAGCCAGCAGACTGGGTACACATGGCTTGTTAACCATTTCTCAGGCGTTGCAAATGAAATGCTATGCTTTTCTTATTTTACTGTGGTGTTTTACTTTTTGGTTGTACCGAAGTTGTGTATTAAATATAACCATGTTCTTTTTAGTATTATTATTATTTTTATTTTTAAAGTGTATGGCTACCTGGGGCCGCAACATGCGAACAATGGGAAAGCAGTTTTTCTGTAACAAAGCGAACTGTGTGTCTCTCTCGTGACACTGACGAGACTCAGGTGGAACCGGCCCCTCTGAGCCTGCCCTACCAACCAGATTCCGTGAATACGAAATTCGAAAACAGCTGGACACCGATTCCTTTCTGTGAGCTCTTGGTGACGGTTCCTTTTTTGGCTGTGCTACACGCTTCAAATCCTGCACACTCACTCGGCCCTCAACAGAGATCCACTCAGCCACCCTTCACTGCCACGTCAGCGACTTGCTGACAGCTTTCAGGGAGACTTCTGGCATCCGGAGGAATGACCGTATTTTCCACAGTTAGAAAGTCCCTAGTTAACGTGGGAATACACACATGTAAATCATTTGAAAAAACTTTCCGTTTGCCATAGAAGCTCTTTCCCTTCACTTTGTTAGGTTCATACTTTCTACTTGGTATCTAACCAACCTCCTACCAAATGCAGACTAGACTTATTCAAAGGGATCGCAAGCATCACCATCCTTCGCAAGGCAACCTTACATTCATATGAATGTCAGCATCCTCCCCTTTACGGGACAATCTGAGCATATTCAACACGGTATTTAAATCAAAATGTTTTCTATGAACAACGTCTCAGGTAAAGCCAATGGGACTATATGTTCAAAGTCAAGGTATAGCTGGCTAATAATTGTACTGTGTTGAACCATAGACTGGAAAGTGAATCAACGATTTTTTCCATGTTAGCACTTGCTGAGGAAGCAATAGGTTTCGGTCTGTGAATGAAAAAAAAAAAAAAAATGCATCAGCAATCCTGGCGCGGGAGAGGCTAGACTGCTGCTTCCTTCTAGAAGTCAGGGAGTACCGGCCAGCGACCCCTCTGGGATCTTGTGGTCCACGTCTCTGACTTACTTTACATAACGTGACAAGCTATGTAACGGCTGTCGCCACTACTAATAGTGACTGTGGTCACCGAGCCATGATCACAGTACTAAGGAGGCCCTCTTGGTTCTGAGAGTATCAACTCCGCCAGGTTCCCACCCTGAAGACGGCTACCAGATAAGATACATTTTCTGCAATCACCGGGGGTGGGGTGGGGTGCCCTAACTGTTCAGAAGTTTACCAAAGGCCTACTGTTTACCAGGTTCAGGGAGACAGAGTCCCTGTGTATTAAATATAATCTTTTTTTTAGTGTTACTATTATTAGGAGGAGACAGACATGTCATCCAACACTTACTACTTTTTGCTCAAAAACTTTAAATATTAAACAAATTCACATTTTACCTCCACTTCCTCCCTCTAGCTTATCCTATTGTCAGTGATGCTGTGTCATCTTGCAGAAATCAGATTATGGGGCTAAAACGTGGGGAAGGGGGGCCCAGGTGGAGATTGGAGGGTGGGGGCTGTCGTTATTGTACAGCCTTAAGGTTGCTAAAGCTCGTTGTCTTGATCTTTAAGGACTTGAAGGGAGAGCTGCAGTATGTTGTTGTCTGAAACTAAAAAGCATAATGGACACGAGGAAATGAAATATATGAAAATACTTAAACTTACTCCCCCCACAGTAATGATACTGAATCACTCTTTATAAAGCATGCTTTCCTATTATTAATCTTTATTTTTCCCAGAAAGAACAATGGGTTATGATGAGTTACCAACTCTTTCGTGTTTATAGGGCCTGGTATTAGGAAAAATGTGTTTTCATGTGAAATTACCCTAAACCCCAGGGAAACACATCCAAATAAAGTATGGTTCGTGTTTCTCCAACATTCTGACATTGACTTTGACTCCTGATGAACACGATGAAATAAAAAATATGAAAATACTTTATAAACTGCAACATCAGGCAATATCAAAACAAAAACATTTAAAAATATACCCTTAAGGGACTATTTGTTCCTTCCCACCTCAGCTGCACCACAGCCCAGTAATTATTCCAAAAACTTTCTTTCTAGAAAGGCTAGATGGGCTAAATAGACTATCCCTGAAACTACCTGATACCAAGAAATGAAGGTGTTGACTGAATCACCCATGATTAATCTTCAAGATGTTTCCTTTCCAGATAAATGTTTATTAGGTATAAAATAAGCATTACATGTTTATTAGTAGTATCATATTTCTTATATGAATCAGCGATTCAAAATGTCCTAGCTCAAGCAGTACTAATAAAGCCCTCACTGGAAGTTTCAAAATTCCCTGTGGTCTTTGATTTTCGGGATGCCTGGATTCTCTATAATAGTATTTTTTCAAAAGGAACTGCGTATTTTATATATTCTACAAGGGGATGTCACCCATGACTCTTCAGTTAAATATTCATTGTTGTCAACCAAATAAACCACCTATTTCAAAAGGCTGCCTGTAATTGGTTTCATTATTTCATACATTACCTACACAGGAAAGCAATTTTGTAAGCAGAAATAGATAACCTACACAAACTGGCAAGCTTTCAAACTACTAAAGGGCGGCAAGGCTTAAGAATAAGTATAGTAATAGAAAATGTCACTTTTTATGGAAAAGTTTTACTTTATTTTGTAAAAAATAATGTTTTGAATAGTTACTTTACTCTTTCAAAACAATGCAACCACAAGAAGCACTGAGGAGAAAGTACCCTGCTTTTATGAACTTATTGTTAACACACCGATGGCAGGCACACTGCTCACTGAAGCAGCCGTATGTGACCCAATTGCAAGACACAACATGTAGGAGTAAACACACAAGACTGAACAGCTGTGAAAAATAGAGGATTAATCAAAAGATTCTGCTTAAAAACATTAAATTCAAGTTATGTGGATCTTTTATGCATAAAGACCATACTGTGTCATCAGAATGACTCTTCAATGGTCAGTTCTGGAAAACAAAACTTAACTTTAGTTAGAAAGTTAAACTGTTAACTTCTCTTTTTCAAAGCATTTTCAAAAACTATGCTATGTAGTTTTTATTCCAAGAAGCCTTCTTGTGATGTACAAATACATCTGCTAATGGGAAAAAGTAAAAAAAGCCAACCTAGGTCCTGGCTGGGTAGCTAGGTTGGTCAGAACGTTGTCCCTATACGTCAGCATTGCGGGTTTGATCCCATCAGGGCACATACAGGAATAACTAATGAATGCATAAATAAGTGGAACAACGAATTGACGTGTGTGTGTGTGTGTGTGTGTGTGTCTAAATTAAAAAAGGAAATAAATAAAAAGAAAAGCCAATCTGGAAAAGAATCCAGTTTAATTAAATGAACGTCAAAGTGTGGTCTCTATCTTCTGCCCCTCCTCATCTTTCTTCTCATGTCGCCTTTGAGACTGAGAGTAACTTGGGGCAAGTTCCCCTGATCTGCGTTCTCTCCGCCTCTCTGGGCTGTGCTACCACCAGGGAGCCCTGCAGCACCCTCGCTGGTCCCAGGCAGGAGGACCTCAGCCAGACTCACTCCTACCCCTGGGCTGCTATGACAAACATTACAAAGTGCCTACAGCCTACAATTATTTCAGCAACAAAGTAAACTTCTCTAGTGATGATGCTGTACTGGTTTGTCGCCCTAATACCAACCAACCATTAAAAAAACATTAAAAACCAGAAATTCAAACTGTCTGTAGACAAGTAATCATTTAAAAGTTGGGAAAATGAGAAGGAACTGTAGTCCCAACCACCTAAAGTCTCCCCTCCTCCAGTCTTATGTCGCAATTTCTTTTCCCCGTAATTATCCTGAATGCAAACATGACGCTGTCACCTCTACTGCATCGACAGTGTCACTTGTGTGCATCACCGGGTGGCAGCCCTGGGAGGCCAACAGGGCGTCTGGAGCCCAGCGCTCCCTTCAATCGGTCTTGTCCTGCCTGTTCTCAGTCCGCACATCCAAGGTGGGCGCTTGGGGTGGCGGGGCCCCCTCGGGGCTCGCTGCTGGGCAGGTGGGCGGGGGAGGCCCCGTGGCACACAGTGGAGTCCGCTTCAGCTTTATCACCCGGGGTGGGGTGGCCTTCTTGTCGCACAGCAGAACCTTGGCTGGAGGGGGCGATGTGGCCCCATTTTCAGGACCCCCAGGCCCATGCGATGGGGAGTGCCCAGGCACCTCCGTGCCCACCAGGGACAGGGCCTTAGACAGTGCAGAGTGCTGAGCTGGCATTCCACCTGGAGACGGGGACACCCGGACTGAAGCCGAGTTCTTGACCTTGATTTGGGTGCTGGTGGAAGGGCCCGAAAACCTGACAGGTTTAGGACCAGCCTTACAGTTCACGCCTTCCTCCCCTTCATCCAACGCCATCAGCCTCCTGCAAACACAGAAGCATGCCCGTCAGCACTTACACGGTCAGTAGCTAATGAAACCAGCTCCAAAATTCACCTCTAAGGTGAACAAAAAGGTTTCCATCAAGAATGTGAGCCAAGAGATCGATGCGTATCAATCGACCCCATTTCTCATCTCCTGCCATGGTCAGTACATACATCGGCAAGTTTATAAGAGATTGTGCCCTAACCGGTTTGGCTCAGTGGATAGAGCATCGGCCTGCAGACTCAAGGGTCCCGGGTTCGATTCCGGTCAAGGGCATGTACCTTGGTTGTGGGCACATCCCCAGTGGGGAGTGTGCAGGAGGCAGCTGATCGATGTTTCTCTCTCATCGATGTTTCTGACTCTCTATCCCTCTCCCTTCCTCTCTGTAAAAAATCAATAAAATATATTTTTAAAAAAAGAGAGATTGTTTCACCTTGAATAGGAACCCTTTTAAAATCACATACAATACGAACAAGCTAAAATGTGGAAAGAGATGTTATGTGAGAATTACACAACATACCGCTCTGTTCCCAAGAACCCTGATGCGATCCAAGGGCAACCAGAAACATCCTGAGTTGTTTTTCCCAGGTTACTGAGGAAGAAGAGCGCTTCCAGGCCACTAGACCCCAGACCAAGGTTTCTCGGTCTTGGCACTATTGTCACTTTGGGCCGGATAGTTCTTTGCTATGGGGGCTGCCCCATGCATTCTAGAACATTTAATGGCAACCCTGGCTTCTACCCACTCGATGACAGTAGCATTCCCCACTCCACAGTGTGACAACCCAAAATGTCTCCACACATTGCCTAACACCCCTGGGGGACAAAATCACTCCCAGCTGAGAACCGCTGCTCACACTGAAATGATGTTTGCTAACTATAGGTTCAATGGGCAAAACAAATAATGATAACAAAACGAGAGCCTTTAGGAAAATAATCTGTTTTAACAAGAGATCATTAATTACTAAACACTGAATAAACTCGGCATTTCTGAGAAAGATCCAGAGGGCACAAGTCAGAGAGCATCTGGAATCCCACAGGAGCTTTGAATCAAGTTCTAGAGCAGAAATCCAGAAATCAGAACTTCTGAAAGCCATGAATAATTCCCAGACGATGAAAAAGAAAAATGGTTTTTAAATGCATTTAAAGCACAGTGAACGACACAGATGTGGAGTGAGTTTAATGCTAATAATTTTAAAGAACACAAGAAAGTACCATTAACTTAAAATGCTATTTGTGGCATTGAGAAGGAGAAAGGAATTCAGAATAAGTCACAGGAAATTCCAAATGTTAAATAGTCACAGGAAATTCCAAATATTAAATCTAATAAATACATTTTTTGACTATTACCAATAAAGCCTGGATTTCACTTCTGTGCAGAAAACTACTTACCACAGCATTCCCACTGTCTCCACTAGTATCATTAAAATCACACTCTCCCCAAAAGAACATACTCTTAACTCCATTTTAGAGAATTATTTGTACCTTTTACATAGTTTTGGTAAATTTGCATTTATCCAGATTTATATTTTGGTGGTAAGGCAGAATATTCGTCTATGTGATTAATAGGCTTTTATTTTAGTAAGGTCAAGAACTGTTATTCATTTCCCCAATAAAGTCAGAAAAAATATAGGTCACAGATTAAAAAACAAACATCAACAAACATCAACAGAGCAGAGTTCACCTCTTCCGAATCGGGGCCATGTGGCGCAGGCTCCCCAGCAAAGGCCGCTCCTCCAGGGTCCAGCATTCTATCAGCTCGTGCGGCACCCGCCAGTAGCTGACGCCTGGGAGAGAAAGGCATCGTTAAGAGAACCTCTGTCCACTGCACACGGGGCAGGAGCACTGTCGCCTAGAAGAAGAGCCAGGGAGAGCGTCCGAGCTTCATGCCCCATTTCTTTCCCTCCTAAGAAATCAATTATTTGCTTAAATTTCCTTTTAGTTTACTATAGTTTCATTTTTCATTCATAAATCTACCTGGGCTTATTTTGATAAATGATGTGAGGTCAAAGATGTTTGTCTCTCAAACATACTTGTCAATTACATGTTAAATAACCTATCATTTTTTTCATTGATATTTAGTCAGTCAACTCTGTGACTTTCTTATTACATAATATTTGTATTCTTATAACTTTATTGGGGTTTACTCTTGCTCTCTGCATCTATTCTTATACCAGGAACACATGGTTTTTTTATTATTATCTACAGCATGTTTTGTTTTTGCTTTTTAAAATATGTTTTTATTGATTTCTGAGAGAAGAAGGGAGAGGGAGAGATGGAAACATCAATGATGAGAAAGAATCATCGATCAGCTGCCTCCTGCACGCCCCCCACTGGGGACTGAGCCCACAACCTGGGCATGTGCCCAGACCAGGAATCAAACTGGGGACCTCTTGATTCATGGATCAACATTCAACTGCTGAGCCACACCAGCTGGGCTACAGCTTGTTTTACTATCAAACAGAGTTAGACTCATCCCTCTAATAACCTCTACTTCCCAAAATGTTCTTGGCTATTTTTCATTTATTCTTTCAGAGGAATTTTAGAATCATTTCAAGATTCCCAAAGAGTCCTATCGATTTTGGTAGGAATTGTGTTAAACTTACCATATAATCTCAGAAGAACTGACATCTTTATAATATTCAGATTTCCCTTTCAGGACCATGGCATGTCTCACCATAGCCTTCATGTCTTCATTTATATGGATGGATGGATGGATGGATGGATGGATGGATGGCTAAATACATTTTAGCAGTTTTCTTCATAAAACATTCAAGCATTTCTTGGTAGGGCAGTCCTAGTTATTTTTGTTTTATTTATTGCTATAGTGAATGGGATTTCCCCTATAATTTCTAATTAATTTATCATAAATGAGCTGCTCTTTGTTAACATATATGTATACAGCTAATAATATATTGTATACAACATATAAAATACAACTACTAAACTCATCATTTAAAATACCATTAGTAGATTCTTCTGAGTTTTCTAGAAATACATATTGTTCACAAATAACCATAAATGTCTTCTTTCTTCCAACTGGCCTTTCTCTTACTTCTGCTTCCTGCTTAGGGCTTTCCACAGACCTTCTAGAACTTTTTAAATAACAGTGATGCTCTCCTACACACTTTCTAAAAAGTTAAAGGCAGTTGCACACTTTGTTAAAGTCAGGGATCGCAGCTCTCTGCTCCAGCTTCCTAAGTCAGCAGAGAGCCTCCTGGGCAGCCCGCAGGTCCAGGGCACAGAAGGAGACAGGACACCATGGGTTTGTTCTCAATTATAAGTCCAAGTGTCTCAAAGTCAGTTAAATCTATAAGAATAAGCTAAAAGAGAATAGCACTCCTTTCATTCTACTTTATCCTACCTGCTAGAGGGGTATGAAAAGAAAAGAAAAAGGAGGGAAAGTGAGGGAGGCAAAGATGAGGAAAGAAGAGGTTGGTACTGGCACCCCACCTAAAGGAGGAACAGCTGATGTAGTTTTTATTTATTTTTATTTTTTATTTTTAAAATATATTTTATTGATTTTTTACAGAGAGGAAGGGAGAGGGATAGAGAGTTAGAAACATCGATGAGAGAGAAACATCGATCAGCTGCCTCCTGCACACCCCCTACTGGGGATGTGCCCGCAACCAAGGTACATGCCCTTGACCGGAATCGAACCTGGGACTCTTCAGTCCACAGGCCGACGCTCTAGCCACTGAGTCAAACTGGTCAGGGCTGATGTAGTTTTTAAAAGCCTCTTCCACTCTTTTATTCCATTTTATAATGACTTGCAATCTGTTTCTATCCGCTTTTAAGAACATTTGAAGACTAAGATGTGTGCTATTTATCTTTGGACCCATTTTTAGGATTTAGTATAATGGTTGCACTTCACACTCAATAAATGCTTACTAATTAAGGGGGGAACATCTTGGGCATAGAACAGTTAATCATCTGTGATCCTTAAGCAAGTGGCATGGCCTCTCTGAGATTCAGTTTCCTCACCAATAACATGATAAAGAGCATAGGACGTTGTTTTAGGATTAAATAGCATGATTATTATCAATCCTATATAATAAAAAGGGCAATATGCAAATTGACCCTAACGGCGGAAGAACCGCTCCGCCAGTCACTATGAGGTACACTGACCACCTCTTGCTCCCTTTCGCTGGCCGGCAGGCTCCCATCGCCCAATGGCAAATGGGGACCTAAGGGTGGGTGGCAGGGGACACAGGCGGCACCAGACCAAGGCCCCGCCCTGACAGTCGCCCCACACACAGAGAGCGACCTGTGGCAGGGGTGGGGCCAACGAGCAGGAGGGAATGGCTGACCTCTTGGTCCTTCCCCCTGGCCAGCAGGCTCCGATTGTCCGATGAGGAATGGCAAACCCGGGGTGGGTGGTGGCGGGGGGCGGGGCTGGCTGTGGGAAACCGGGGAAAATGGCCCTCATCACAGGCCAGGCCTAGGGACCGTACCTACGCACGAATGTCATGTGCCGGGCCTTTAGTTCTCATATAAGCAGCTTGGTAAAAATGGCCAAATTTCAAAGTGTGTATTTAAAGATTATTTTAATTGTTTGATAAGGGCTCTTTAGACATCTTACCAGCGTTATTTTCATTTCCTCTGTCTCTTTTTTTTTATTATACATTTTATGCTTAACTTAGAGATATACTTCCTAGGACAATGCTAGGTACACAGTAGGTGCTAAGTAACCTCTTGTTTAATTGAACTAAATAAGCATAATTAACAGAAGCATATTTTAGGTTACTGAATCATAAACTATTAATCATATCTAGCAACTCACGAGGTTTAAAGATTTGCAAGTAAATTATCCCAATGTTACCATGAAATGACAAATACCTGGACCCACACAAAAAATACTTTCTCAAAAAAAGAAATGCATCTCAGCTCACTTTGTCTTACTAAGGACACGCCTCCTTCTGCCATGAAATAAAAGAACTGGACTGTACCTTTTCCTTCCCAGGCATCAAAGGCATCCATCATTTTCTTCAGTTCTGCTGCTGAGTAATAGCTCCAGATGTACTGAACATTATTGCCCGCCTCTCTAGAAAGATTGCAAAAGGTAATGAAAATATACCACCTAGGTATGAATGTGTGTGTGTGTGTGTGTGTGTGTGTACGTGTGTGTACAGCTAACAGACAGTAAGTGCTTGTTCGTTAAGGAAAAGGTTTGTTCTGTGACCGTTAAGCACACATATAATTCTATATACTATATATTATATACTATATGAATATACTAACCTACATTTGATCTCTTTTTACAGTAGTAAAATATTTGTTAATTTTACTATATATAGACCGTGCAGACAAATCAACAAGTCTTTAAAATAGCTTTTCTAAAAATCACCAACTCCAGTAACGTTAGAAAAGACTCAACTTTGACCAAAACTTTATTAAATAACAGTGATGCTCCACTACATGCTTTCTAAAAAGTTAAGAGCAGTTTCACGCTTTGGACTTGCCTAGCCTTTGCCAGGCAGTTATAAGTCTCATATAGAAACATCTCTGCCTGTAAAGAATTCAGAAAATGGTGACATGTTTAACCATCTAAAAACAAACTCATGTGGTCATGCATTTGTCACTAATATGTGCCCTAATTCAATATCCCAGAGAACTTTTTCTAAAAATTGCTAAGTGGATTGACCAGTGTAAATAAGATTACAGGGAAAATAGTAAGAGAATAACCCTTAGAAATTGAACATATTCAAGTCATAGAATTTTGAGGCTGGGAGGGACCAGGAAAGTCTCTCATCATTTCTCAGGGCAAGACACCAATGCACAGGCCAGTCCAGGCCACTCAGTGGGCCTACTGGCTCCTTAGCCAGGACTTCTGCCCCCAGGCTGTGGTTGAGACACCCAGGCACATGGCTTTGCTTTTCTTTCTTCCTTTTCTTTTTTTATAAAGTCTCACAGGGAATTCTGATGTCCACTTCCAGTTGAGAACCACAGTACTAGACCACATAGATAGCCCATAGCTTCTTTGTGAAACGGTCTTAATTATAACTTCTGTCTCGACAGCCCAGAAGGCTCACTCTGCCTGTTGAGAGGGGCTGATGGTCTTTTCTGGTCAACCACATATTCCATTCAGTAACACCTCTTAGAAAAGATCAAGACTTAATTTTGTTCCGTTTTCATTTTTAAATATGGACATACCTTTTAAAAATGCTTTTACTGTGAATTCTTCCTCCTAGCTGCTTATCAATAGCATCTGTTCCGTCCGTTTTTGTGGCATATACACCAATAATTCTACTCTCACAGCTTGCACCGGATGTGTTAAGATAGTGGAGAACCCAAACTGTTGGTTTGTTGCAAACTAAACCATATGAATCACAGAAGTCTGTTAAAGCCTGGAGAAGAAAAAAAAAAGAAAATTTGAATTTAATTCTGGAAAGTAATTTTTTAATTTAAAAAATTAATTTGTTGTTACTTTCATGTAAGGCTGCAACTTCAGTTGGTCATAAGGCAAAAAAAAAAAAAGATATTCCTAGTCTTTATGCCTTTAAGAACCAAACATGCATGGGTTGAACTTGGAGTGAGGGGCAAATCACCAAAAAAAGCATCACCCAAAAACCCAACAGTTTCTCATCTAGAGAACCCTTTTCCTGATGGAAATTACATTTTATTCCTCCTTCTTTAACCTCACTACCAGCATCACTTTTAATTTTAAATCTTCACATAATAACTAAAACTAGACCTCTTTACTTCTCCCTTTAATTTCCCCCAAGCTTTCCACTTGACTCAATCTTCCTTTTATCTCCTACTGACTCTCCCATGATTGATGCTTATTTTTAAATCCAAATCCAATCATGGATTAAGCGGATTTTAGCTTGCTCTTTTGCACTGAAAGGTATGAATATATGAACTCAAAACAGACTGTCTGAACTCACTTGGCACTTACCCACCTGTTCATTCATTCGCTTGAATATTAAGTAGCTACTATGTGCTGAGCACTGTCTAAGGTCCTGGAGATATAATGTTGAGCAAGACAGGGTCCTGGCCCTCCTAGAGTTTATGGCTGATGCAGAAGACAGACATTAAACAAGCCAGCAGCACACAATGTGGTAAGTGCCACTAGGTGAGCCTAGGCGGTGCTGAAGGGCACAGAGCAGGAAGGCTTCGCCCAATCGGGTGGCAAGGGCCTTCCCAGGGAGAAACGGCATCATTATTGCTGTGAGCGCCCTGAGGACAAGCACTTTTACCTGCTATATGCCAAGTGCCTGGAAAAGTGCCTGAAACACTGCCTGACACAAAGGAGATGCTTAATATGTACTGACTCAGTGAATGAAAATAGGACCCTGACATGTCTTGCATTTCCATTTAATGTTGCTATCTAACTCCTGTATTGGTTTTTAACTTTACTTGCACATCTATGAGAATTCCCAACTGTATTATAAACTGTTCAAGGGCAAGCACCAAATGTTGTATTTCTTTCTGTCCCACACAATCTCTAGAACAGTGCTCCCTATGCCTAAAACATTTGAAATAAATGTGTTGGTGAGCAGAATGAATGTATGCATACTATGTCCTTTTTGCATACAAACCAGGAACAAAAGACTACAGAGTTGGGACTTCAAAAATGAATGTTAACCCACCCCAACCTTCTAGTCAAGTTTTTTTAGGCCCATTCTGCAAATGTGTCAAAAAGCATCAAAAGACTATCTAACAACTCAATTTATAAAGAATTTCAGTAGCAGAACCCACACAATCATGCAAAATCCTGAAGGGGGTCTGGAACCAAATGAATGTTCTCTATGCTGCCCTCCTAATAGCCATAGCACCAGATTGCTGTCGATATCCAAACCAAAGATTTCATACTAACTCAAATCCATTTTCACTATTAACAATTATCTAGGTAAAAGACCTTTCTTAGATGTCCAAATGTGCTAATTAATAGAAACATAATATTTATCAATAAAGCAAAAACAGATAATTAAGTAATAAAGATCTTTAAAATGTGATTTAAAATAGAAGCATCTTTAAAAAAATTTACTGATCTCAAAGTGAATTAATCAAACTGATGTTCTAACTTAGTAACAAACTTTATATTCACTAAATCGAGTAAGAAATTTTATACAATCTTTTATATATTATGACCATTTTTTAAAAGACAACATTTCAGAAAACAAAATAATACCACCATACCCTCACTACTACAGTATTGCTCTTAATTCAAAAAGACCTTCAAGAGAAGAAGAGTTCTATAAAATAGCCATCAAAAAGTGTTACATCTTCAATGAAAAATAAAAGCCCCACAAACCTTTGAGTGATGTAATGCACTTTCCTAAAATAGAATTTTGGCCTTAAAAAATGACTAGTAGTCATTAAGAAATGTGTCTTCAAAATTATAAAAAAGTAAAACCGCCTCATGTTGGGTTTATGTGACAGCACAGGCTATGCAAAACAACACACATAGCTTTGTGCAGAATAAATAGAGATATGTATAAATATGTGTGTGTACATATATATATGTTAAAACTTAAGAAAATGCCAAGACCTTTTTAAGTTCTATATTTGACCTTAAAGAATATGTCTCCATTTCATTGGCCAAGTGGTCAGACAGGCTGTACGGATAAGGGATGCCAAAGTAATCCGCCTCTTCCTGTAGAGCGACTCGGGTTTGCTCGTCTGTGGGGATGTGAACTTCTCCATGGAGATAATCCAAAAGGTATTTAAACAGATGTCCATCGCGGTCAATAACACAAGCCCCTAGAAAAGATTCAGTTCCAAAGTCATTGCACAGATACATATGACCATGGACAACATTTCCACATGTCAAACCAAGGTCAGATGGAGGTAGACATGTCTCTCACAAGAAAGTTCCCGTCTGGTGTTCCAATAGGGTTAGCCAAATGTGGTGATCCTCTGCACTCTCACCCACCAAGTAGGAAAATGCATGCTCTGAGCTCCATTTGGAATCTTGGGTGCAATGACCATAATCCCACTGAAGCCCCTGCAAAAGCTGTGGAAACCTCAGACTGCTGGCAGAAAGGGAAACTTACCCCTAACTTCAGGCCACTTGACTCAATCTTCCGGAAAGGCCTGTGAGTTTCTCTCTAATGAGGGCTGGCAGGGGCCTGTTACTATGTCTAGTGTTTGTGTTGATCTGCAGTGCTGACATATAAACCCAGGGTTCCCAGCTCCAGCCTTCCATGTGTTTGGATTTATCAGATTAGTCCCTTTGTACTGTGAAAATCTAAACTTTAAAAAGCAAATGTGCCCGGCTGGCATGGCTCAGGAGTTGAACGTCAACCTATGAACCAGGAGATCACAGTTCGTTCCCTATCAGCACACATGCCCAGGTTGTGGGTTCAATCCCCAGTACGGGGCGTGCAGGAGGCTGCCGATCAATGATTCTCATCATGATGCTTCTATCATTGATGCTCTCTCTCCCTTCCTCTCTGAAATCAATAAAATAAAATAAAAAATAAAATAAAAAAAAAACAAATGCTATGCTGGTACTACTTTATGATAAAAGGCTTTTCTTGGGCAATTAGCAGAATTTTTTAAAAAACAACAGTTCTGTGTGTTACTCAGTAATTCCTTTTCTCCCTTGATTAGTTTAGAAAAAAAGGGATTAAGAAGGTAAAACTTGGGACAGAAAAAAAACTCAATCTCTGCTTATCATCTTCCACCAGCAACCTTTCTGTCCAGATGGACATCAAGCCCTGAGCCATTGGTGACTCTCCCAGGCTTTCCACTGCCATTCCGCTGGCAAAGCCATCTCTCCGACCCAGGGGTGACTCACAGCCCCCCATGCCCAAGACCCCACAAGCCCTCTCTTCTAGCAAAGAAGCAAGAATGGGTACCAGGAGCCCTGGAACCTCTAAGACATGCAAATTCCAGCTGCACCAGGTGACAAGCTTAACATTAACTCTGCACTAACAATGACGGCCCTGTCAGCTATGAGGGCAACTGCTTTTTCCAGAAATACATATTTTTTAACTTGAAAAACACAGAGAGAAGCTAATATTTTTAATCGGCCTCAATACCTTTACCCATGGAGTTTCATGAACGTAACAACTTCCAAAATATAATCCCCGTAAATCACACACTGATTTGCCTTCACACACTCTCACTGTTTTGTCAACTTTCAGCGAAAGCATCACAGATCCTAGAGACTGGTGTTTAATTTCTCCAAGTATTTAATAAGTCTCCATACAGTCCTAATGAGCTCACTAATTAGTAAACTAATCTAATCTATTTCATTGTAATTAGGAAAATCAAAGGGAATTTAAGCTAGACTCCTATTTTAATGAATATGCATGATCATGCTTACAGATTGTAGATATTTACCTGACTCATCTGTTTTTAGAGGAAAACGACCACTGAACATGGAAGCCAACATGGAGTCTTTAAATCGGCACAAGGACTCTCGCCTGGCTGTGTAAATACAGCCACCCACGTTCAGTCGGAGAATGTCTAACATCTCTTCTTCCTTGTGATCTTCCATTGCTCCCGCCGACCCCTGAATTTGTGCCTTGAAATACTTTCAGAAACTGCAAACAATGGTGGTCCCGGTCCCCTCTGTAAAAACAAAGGACAATCACCACTGACATTTTCAACAATAGATAATAAGATAAATACATTTTACTGTGATTTCAAATAAATTCCTCAGCACTGGCAATACTGAATTGAAGGACTTTATACACTATGAAAAAAGTCTGACATATGCTGAGAATCTGGAAAACTCGGGCTCAAAGGACCTGTAAGTAATAATAAACTATGACCAATGAAATCATAGCTGTGGAGGTGACTGTTTAAAGAATTAAACAGCATAATGCATTGTGTGTCATATAGAAAACAAGGGCGAGGTGTGCTTCTGAGCCTCAATATTCACATATCTTTTTAAAGTACAGTAAGTCTGAGGGGGCTGTCTAGACTGCAGAGGACGCAGTGGGCATGGGATGAGGCTGCAAGGCTCTACCGCGCACTAGCTCGGGGGCCTCAGGCAATACTGGTCGTCCCCTGCCTGTGTCCTCATCTATAGAACGGAGGTAGGGACGGTGCCTACCTCAAAGGATTATCAGAGGAATAAGTGACAAAACATATGAAAAGCATGTAGAACAGCCTCTGGCTCAATGTTAGTACTTAATAAATGATAAATATTACCTATGATGATATACATTTTACCATAAGGGGTATACTAGGGACTTGATGTTGGCTCTGCAGACTTAAGGAAACAAAAGGACAGAAATGATTAACAATAGTAATTGTAATTCTTAAATTGTGTAACTAAGGAAGATATAATTTGTCAACTGAGATCGGAATTCCATGTCTGCCAGTAGCTAGACTGGTCCAGAAGAACAAATAGCATCTCCAAATCATCTGACTTCTTCCCAGTTGGCATGGCTCAGTGGTTGAGCATCAACCTATGAACCAGGAGGTCACGGTTCGATCCCGGTCAGGGCCTATGCCTGGGTTGCAGGCTCCATCCCCAGTGTGGGGCATGCAGGAGGCAACCAATCAATGAGTCTTGCTCATCATTGATGTTTCTCTCTCTCTCTCCCTCTCCCTTCTTCTCTGAAATCAATAAAAATATATTTAAAAAAATAAATCACCTAACTTCTGCACTCTGAAATGGCTGAAACTTTATGCACGTGCCATGGCAAGGGTAACATGGCTGCCCAGAGGCTTGGCTACATCCATGGCAATTCACTTTACCACGTGCTCAACTAAGACCCTTTCGTGGATATTCCAGTGTATCCACTCTCCCATGAAAGGGGGACAGGAGACAACCATGTGTGTCGAACACGGTCAGTGACAGAAACTATCATGGACCAATGGTCCAGCCTTCAAAACCCACCCATGGATGTGACTTCTTGCACTACCTACAGGTCCTGGGAGCAGCCCCCCAATGACCCGGGTGAGAGAACCACCTGGGAGGCCTGGGATGGAGCTGGTTCTTGCTGCCCGTTACCAGCTCCCTGGAAGCCCATCTATTCTTCAAAGCCCCAGGCAAACCTCACTGCCTGCACTACCTTCCCAATCACCCCCAAGTGAGAGCCGGTGCACAGTTCTCCAGATGAACTGTGCTCCTCTGTCTACATTTCACCTCGCTTGCTTAATCCCTAGTTTGGGGGCCTCTACGCCCCTAGAAGGCAGGGCCTGTGTCGCTCTTACTAATTCCCTTTTACTGAGTGCGTACTGTGTGCCAGCCCCGGCGGGCGCCGCCGGCAGACCTGACCTAATGCACACGAGAGCCCTCCTGGATGCGGCTCCCTGTGCCCAGGGACAGATGAGGGCCCTGGGGTCCACACCCAGGCTGCCCTGTGTGTGGTAAGCGGTGGGGACCGCTCGCATCCAGGTCAAGGGCCAACCCCCCAGTTCTGCCTGCTGCACCCACACTGCCGCCTCAGCACAGCTTCGCCCCGAGGCTGCCGGCCCAGGCACTGCGCTCTGTGCACCCCGGGAGCACAGCAGCACCCTTAGTGCAAGGAGGAGACACCCCGGCCCCGGCCCGGCTCTCCTAAGGCAGAGGGCCACCACCATTGCAAGTCCAGCCGCGGTGCCCGCCCTCAAGTGCACCCACTAGGCTGCCTACTGTGGCGGAAGTGCCCTGCCCTCCGGAGAAGCGTCCCCGAAGTGCGGGCCTGGGACCACCTGTATCTAAGCCGTCGGCATCGCCTGCAGCAGGCGGATTCCCGGGCCGCGGCACAGAGTGCGGACCACAGAGTCCGCGGCGGGGGTGGGAGTCCGCCCGCGGACCCACTTTGAGAAGCGCTGCTCCGGGGACTCGCACTTCTCCCTCCAGGTGGAAGGAGGGAAGGGGCCGGGACACCAGGAAGCCCGCCGGAGTCTCCCCGGCTATCACAGATTCCGCTCCCGGCCTGAGCCCACGGCCCAGGCCTCCCGTG